ACCATGATCTAAGTTAAGTAAGATATTCACCACCAAATAACTCTCTCAGATGCACACCACCGTATTAGTAATTCCACAACAGCATAGTAAGTGGGGTGAGTAGACAGCTATAAAAGCTTAATTGTTCAGCGATAGTCAGTCAAAGGTAAGTACTCTTCTTATTATTTCAGAACATTCTGTAATAGGACTGCCAATTATCTTTCGTTCCGAAGGATAACCATCCAGCAACAACAAAAAAGACGAAAGAGACTATGATAACGAGGAAAATGATGATTTTGCCGAGACCGCTACGAGAAACGCTGCTCAAACAGTTAATCTGGATATTTATAGCGTATATATAAATCGTTTTTTGTAGAAACACATGCATATATCATTGCTTGTGATTTTGTTATTTTATTTATTTATTCTTGCCCATTTATACATGAAATTCAGCTAATGAAAATTGCAGTTGAATTCAAAGCATATTAATAGAAAATCTTTTACTAATTGTTTCAAAACTAGTATAAAATAAAAAGGAAGAAAAAAAAAAGAAAAGTAAGTTTAAAAATGTATAAATAAATAAGAAGAGAGAAAAAAAAAGAAAAAAAGCATGTACAGGGCTAGCACAAATAAATGTACAGCCTTTTCGTAACATAAGGATCATCAAGCTCTTTGGACCACCTCATAATAAAACCAAGCGCTGACCTAGCTTTGCTTAACGAGAGCTCAATAAGCAAATTAAAACGTAACCTATGATTAAATAGAACCATTAAATCTGCGAACAAATCGGCGGCCTCCAACTTGCGTGAATCATTGAAATGAGTAATGAATGACATCAGTCGTGAGAAAGAAAGCTTGTTACATTTATTTAGATTTAATTTCGTAAAATTCAACGAGTACCATGCAACCAATTTATTTAAGACAATTTGAAGGTGATGTGATTGCGATTCTACGGAAAAGGAAGAAAACAGTTTCACATCATCAGCATACATTAAGATCTGGCTGGATTTAATCACTGAGTGCAAATCATTAATATATAAATTAAATAATATGGCTTCTAAGTAGCTGCCTTGAGGTACGCCAAACGTAACGGGGAATTCATGTGATGTGATGAAGTTAAACAAAACCCTGGATGAGCTATTATGCATTTCACTAAATAGGAAGGGAAGTTAGAGGCTTGGAGTTTAAAGATAAGTGTTTTATGGTTAACCAAATCAAACGGAATTAGCAGTCAATATCGCCCGAGGACTCGAAGCATTTAAAAGAAACATGTGAGACATTCATGGAGATTTCTCTTTTGGGATTAACGAACTTAAAAAAGTATTTAGAATTAGCAAACAGAGATGAATTAATGAACTGATGGTATTTGCAATAATACTGATGGTTGAGGGAATTAATTCGATGCCCTGTCGCTGAATAAGCGAAATAGTCGAAAACAGATTCACTTCACGAAAATTTTTTGAAAAGCTTTTGTTCCTGTTCTTGTAATACTTAGTCGTCTTATTAAACCACGGGGGACACCTGCTTCGAGAACAGGCCTGCTTGATTTAATATATTGTAGAACGGTGACAGTAAGCTATCAATACTTGCAACTAAGAAATCAAGCTTAATATGTGGAAGATGTGACTTTAGCATTGAAACATTGTTTTTATGGAAATCATAAAATTTATTTGAAAAAGTTGAATTTGGAACGTTATAGAAGTTCAACGAACCACCATGGTTGTAATGAAAGGAAACACCTAATGCTGGATGATAAGGATACTCAGGTAAACTAAAAGGAAGACCACGGTTTACACAAATCTCAGAAAAATTGGCAAAGCAAAGATCAAGCAATCTACCATTGCAATTAATGGTACCGTTTTATTGAACTAAATTATGATCGAGTAATTCATTAAAGAACATAAAAGCTCTATCAGATGTTAAAGTAGAAATCAAACAGCCAGAACTATCACTGTAACATCAAGAGACTTGAGAGAATTGAAGTCATCCAACGCTATGACTATACCGATAGGTTTAGAATGCGTGGCCACTTCATAAATAAGAGATACTTGTTTCTTTTGTTTCTTATATAGGGAGATATCCGAATTTGGGGGAATATAGGAGCAGTTCACATATAAATGTTTATCAGAAAATTTCGCTCGAATGGCGATAAATTCAACGTCGGGACTAGTGGGAAATTCAATTGAATAGGAGGGGACTGCCGCAGATATGGCAATTAAAACACCACCACCATTGCGGGACAGTCAGTCATTTCTGAAAACCTGAAACGAATTATGGAAAAGTTCTGACGAATGTAGATCACGCTTTAACCAAGTGTCGGATCCAACGGGCCACAATGGTTTATTTAACAACATATCCATGTTTTCAGTCGGAATTAGAATTTTAAAAGACGAGATTGCTCTAGGTTGAGAAGTAGCCAATTTGAAAATGCTAAGACGCTTTCAATTGACAGATGGCACTTTCGCCACCAGATAACTTTTTAGGTTATCTGCGGATGTATCAGTTGCCAGTCTTGACGCAAATATTGCCTTTCTAGGAGGAACTGCCTTCAAGCACATGTCATCTCTACTAAGAGCAGTAGGGTTCACGGATGGCGAGTTTTGAGTTGAGGAGATTATAGAAGGGGTAACCACACTTGCACGAGCAGCTTGTGCGAGGCCAGTGTGGCGACTAGCGTCCATTCTCGCACAGCCAGGAGGAGAGGACGATTTACCATTGTCCTTATTAGCTTTAGGCGGGAGGAGATAGCCTTGCCACTTCACCATAGCTCAAACCAGAAGGACTTCCCAGCTTATTTGTATTTTTTTTGTTACCGATTCAGCAATAGCAGAAACGCTAACGTTCTTGGTAGACTTTGAGATGAGTGCTCAATATAACGACACTCATCGAACGTAGTCTTAATTTTTTCAAACTTATCACACAAGGGGCCAAGATTTTTACTTAAAGCTAAGAATTTATTTCTCGTCTCCGTGAAGAGTTTATGGAAATCAATGTTCCGCTTCCTACAGTAAGGACATGACCATCATTTAGAGAGATTCATAACTGCACCTGCAGCAGGGCCATTTACACCAGCACACTTTGCATGGCAACCACATTCGCAGAGCCAACACGATATGAATCGTTCGGATGCTGGGCCTGTTTTCGCACGACATGGTGTAAATAAACAATCCATGTCCAGTGAAAACCACAAAATGAGCTTATAAAGAAAAAAAAAAGAACAAAAAACTAAAGGATTCCACGGCACAAGTTTTCAGCAAATTAAAGCAAACTTCTTATTTTCGTTTCCACTGTAAATATAGAGCCAAAGCAAAACAAGTAAAGGTTAAAAGAAAAAAAAAACAGACTTTTACCAAGAGCTCTTATTGTTGATTGCGCAAAATTAAATGATTTTTTTACATAAAAGATTAATATAATTCATAAAAGTTAAATTCACACTTTATTTTTTTAAATATTTTTACAATTTAGACGCGAATAAAGTCAAAAAGCTAAGAAATACACTATGAAATTGAAATATTTCCTGCACAGAATTAAAACGCGACTACAACACGAACGCAGAGTTGCGAAAATATATTAATTTACAGTTCGAAGCGTTTAGAAAATTGTCATACATATGTAGAACGGCTTTGTTTACAAAAAATATATAACGGAATATAAACGGAATTGAAGTTTTATTCTTTCAAAGGAAAGTAGCTTATGGGTCGTTATCAACCAACTGCCTTGTGCAATGCCATACCATATACTTCAACTCTGGCCTCACTCATTACCAGCACATGTTTGGATAAAAATTTTACCGTCCATACACGAATTTCCAGAATTCTACCAAGCTTCACCAAGTTAACACGTTTATAGAGTTTGCTGATGGCCAGCGAAAATATGACAACAAATTTACCAGCTTCCTTTAGACTCGCTGTGAGAAAAAATAGTTCACTGACGCGCATATTTGTGTTTTTGGTAGGAATAAGAATGAGCTGAAATAATGCTCCCAATTTTCAAGAAATCCGTTAGCCTCACCTTAACCATGACATTCTTTATGAGATTAATGAAATCGGTCTAAAGTTGTTTAAATTGTTTACCGATTGACCTGTGTTAGAAATGGGAACAATATTAACATATCGCAAAACCAACGATTTAAATCTATTAAACGATGTAACAAGACATCCAAGCATCTCCCAGAGAGTGGCCTGGCCATGCCGTAGTTGATTCCATTACAACCCGCAGCGGTATATTTCTTCCTGGATTGCAAAACATACTATAACGTCAAACCGATTTAGTAATTTATGTTTTCATTTAACTTCTTTTGAAATTAAGTTCTTACCACTGAATTGTGACTTTTAGAATAGTATCGGTTTCATTTACAATTCTTCGGATATCTAATTACCAATTATTTACAGGTACTTATATTTACAAAGCTTTAATCGCCGTTCTAGTCTTTTCCGAGACACTATGAGAAATTCGTTTTAAATTTCATAGTTTTGATGATAACAATATCAACGGCAGAATTGTAAGGAATAAACTTGGTACCTCAAATAGTACACTCACGCCATTAAAGCCGGTTTCAAATCAAACATCTCAAATTAATCGATTGTAGATGTAGATGCAAGCGGCTGCTTTGAGAGATATTACTGGAACTCGCAGGTAATAGTTAAAGCACAGTCCTAAAGATTTTCTGTGGATGTATGGACAATATTTAAATTGATAATTAAATTGTTCCAATTTTCGATAAATTTGTAAACATCACCACAAACGTATAAGTGTAAAAGATCGGCATTAATGTTTGAAAATTTCGGCGACTAATAAGAAATATAGAAGACCTTATCAGTAGCTAATAAAACTTATCGGAAATTTATAGAATATTAACAAAGTCCTTGCGACAATCTCACTTTTATTTTTTCATTTTTAAGTTTGACTATGAAGAATCATCAATAAATATAGAATTTTGAGTACTGGAAGATTAAAGTAAAAACGTGCACGGTTGTTTCGTCACTTCGTAGAAAAACCATTAAGAAAGAAATAGAAGTTTATGCGAAGTAAAGATATTTTTAATATTTACATTTATATGATAGATTGCCTTTTTTCATGTAAATCTATACACGCTGCAATATTATCTTCTTACATCAACTTTGTCTTATTAATTCCAAGGCATCACGCAGTTCTTCTTCTTGATTCGCCCTTTTACAATGTTCCAAACCATCTTCCGGTTTTTGGTCTTCAGTGAAAGCAGAATCTTTTCTTGGTATTTCTTCATATAGTTTGGCTTTAGCGCGGCGAGACTTAATTAAAATACCATGTCCCAAGCAATCAAAATTTTCACTGTAACATCTATCGCGGCAACAAATGCGACATAAACGAAAGACACATTTAAATCCTAAAGGATTACAGCAACAATGGTGGCAATTCTCTAAATGGCGATCATGTTTTCCTTCAGGTTTGTCAGGCCGACGAAAACGTCGCCGCAACTTTTTCATACGCTTGCGAGATATTTCTTTCCCTTCATTGTCATAATACTGCCGTTTGTCACGACTTGGATCTTCAGCTAGGCGCGCCTTCTCCGATACAACTTGTTTATGAATTTCGGGCGGTAAACGTACGTAAGGTTGACAGAGCCAAGGTGGCAAGCACATGTTATACTAAAGTAAATGTTAAAAAAATACAATAGCAAATTTTAGAATAAATTTCTTACTTCATGTTCTTCAATTAAAACACTAGGATCAATTTCCTCTTTCCCGTAAGGTTTCAGGCCCTCATGATATGGTTCGTACTTTTGTTGAACTTTCTGAACTACTCTACGAAATTTTTCTAATCCATTCGCCACTGCCAATTCTTCCCTTAAATTAGCATTTGGACGTAAATTAAAACTAGAAAGAGGGAAATTTACATAGACTTATGTATACATATGCACAGCATCATGAAAACCTTAATGTACACACTAAATTTCGCACTAGAAACATGTACAGATTCATATTCGAAACGTTTTTCTTGTTGTATTGGGGATAAAAAATAATAAAACATTTGAATTGAAGTCTCGCGAGCGAGTGCAAGTGAGCGGGTTTTCCTTATCTTCCTTTGCCAACACAGTAGCTAGCTTCCATCTCAAAAGTAAGTTTTGCGATTTTTAAATTGAATAGAAAAGTTCAGCAAAGAAATATTGTAACATTTTGCTTTACGAGCAAAGTGTTGAAAAACGATTTCAATAACAATGCACTGCCTAGAATGAGTGTTTTTGATTGGTTAAAGACCACCAATGTCCTGCGTGAACTTCGGCGTAGCGATGAGCACTCCGTGAAGAAAGTCAATGATTCTGCGTTCAAATTCACTTACACATCAATTAGATGTAGTAACGCCATGTAAGCATACCTTGTGTCAGCGCAATCGATTTTAAGAGACCACTTGGTTCTCAAAAGCAGTCAACTTTTAACCTTAATCACACTTTTTTAACTTTTTCAACAGAAATCAACTGAAATCGTCTCTCAACTACTATTCGCCTTACTTATTTGCGTGTCCCCACTGCCTATCCTTGGAATGAAGCAATCGCTACGAAATGGTTGTACCGCAGTCACGAGGATAAAGCCGTATTAAAAGATGCGCTTTCTAAAGTAGAAGTAAACAAGCTTACTTTATTAATAAGATATTGGCATGAACTTTGACATAGGAGTCAGTTGTCATGTTGGGAGTGCAGTGGAAACACAAGAACTGTATTAATTTTTAATCACAGTAGTATATAATAACTACTTTTGCTTACAAATTTCCCTGTATCGTTGCACTTTTCTATGAATACGAATTTTCATCAATTCTTACTTCTACAATTTATAATACTAATTTTTTTTTGTGGAATGTCTTAAGGTTTCTTTGACGCTGTGTACTTTATCGAACAATTTGATTTGTCCAACATACATGTGATGAAATATTTTAAACAGATGACCTCTTATATACGATATAGGACAAGGATATCTTTGAGCATAGTCTAAATACTCTGCCGCCACAAACCAAGTCTTAGCAGTTTGACCTGTAAACAAAGCAGGATTGTGTAGATTTCCTTCGGCTGTCATAATTCCGTCCACACCTGTCTCATCAAGACAACGTTGAACATCTTTTAGGTCCATTATATTTCCATTAGCAAACATGGGAATTTTTATGTTTTCCCTGCAAAATTATGAAGAATTGGATTTATTAATTGTGTGTGTTAACTAGTGTTATTTGGATAACCAAAAGTACAAATTCACCTAATTTCTCTAATATAGCTCCAGTCAGCAGCACCGGTTAAGGGCCCCTTTTGTTCTCTGGTCCTGCCATGTACAGTTAATAACTGGCAACCAGCCTTTTCCAACATTTGTGCATAACGTATTGTCTTATCCCGATCTTCAAATATGCGTATTTTACACGTCACTGGTACTTTTAGGTTTGAATGCAAAGTTTTTACTAAAAGGAAAAAGTTATATTTTATACAATGGTAACAAAGCTGTATAACACTTAGTAGGACTTACCAATTTCATTTAACAGATGCCAGTCATCTTGTAGAAAGGCGCCATAGTGGCCGCGTTTGGCAATAGCTTGAGGACAACCTAAATTAATATCAATAGCTTCACAATAGTCCTGAGCTAATAAAGCTGCTTCCAGTATAGTTTCTGCGTCGTTACCGCAAAACTTAAATATGAAAAGATAAAAAAAATATTACATAAAAAGTCTCACATTTTTATTACTTAAATAATTGTTTTACAGTTAATCCGAGAACTTATTACAGTTTTTTTTTTTTTTTTTTGGTATATTGAACAGAGATGGACTAAGAGCGGCCGTAATAACGCGGAGTGAGCGTGTTAAATGTAATTGTGTGTGTGTGTTTTTAATTGTGATTGTTGGGTTCTTGAAAGTTAAACAGTGTTGCAATCTTTGGCTCAAAACGAAAAGCAATGCTATGGTAATAGGAAATTATTAAACGCAAAAACGAAAGAAAAAAAAAAGAAAGAAGAGGAAAAAAAATTCGAAAGGGATAAATTAGCTTTTTTAATAAAGCAAGTTAGTTCCCCGAGATGACGTACATTTTTTGCTACAAAGAGATCGAGGAGACAGCCATATTACTTGAAGCAGCTAAAGGAATCTCTAATGCCATCAAGCCTGTGACATCTGAAGATTAGATGCTCAGCAGACTCAACAACATTGCAAACTTCACAAACATCACATGGTATTGCGCGAATCATTTTTAAATAAACTTTGTCATAAGTGTGACCACTCATGAGTCTATAAAGAATTTTGATTTCCCAGGAATTAAAAGAAGATACAGAGAAGGGTTTGAATTGAAATGTGGGATTTAATTTATAGAAAAGACGATTGGATTTAACGCGCGCGATTACTTTAAATTCGTCGTTTAGCTGTTGAAGGATGTGGTTGCGAATTGCCCGAATTGCTTCATTGGGAGTATATTTGATGGACAAAATTGTCCCACCAACACGAGCTCTCCCTGCATGAAAGTCGGCTTTTACATTAAAAAAAAAAGCCGCAGTGGCCACGTACCCAAACGAGGTGACAGTCATCCACTTGAGATTCGTGCAACGTCTTGTGAATGTCAAACACATATTGATTTTCTGCATCTCTTTTATTTATTAGAAGTAGAGCTGACCTGCTGTCGGAAAAAATAACAAAACGTCTGATGCCATCGGAAATAGCAACCATGATAGCATGTCGAATGGCGAGCAACTCAATAAAAGTGGAGGAAAGTTCCTCTTCCACTTTGACTCGAAGTATTGTTTCAGATAGATGTTTCACGACCGAGAAGCCAGATACATTATGTCCGACGGAACCGTCAGTGGCATATATATCATATCCGTTGTTATAATAAAAAAGGAGCTTTTCTTGGCATAACAACCTTATACAAGAGAAGTTGACATTTTGTTTTGAGGTAGAGATCGGTTCGAGAATGTTCATGCATTTGCTGGTAATGAAATTCAATGGGGGAATTGAATCTAACTTATCAAAAATATGACGAAGTTTTTGATAGCAAAAAGTATAGCTGCAAGTGACAGTATCACTGAGAGATATAATTTCCTGAAAAAAGGAAGGATTTATCATCTTGACTTTAATTAACTCCTTGGCAGTGCAAAAAAGGGCTCTTTCGGAAACTGGCCATTCACCAGATATAACATTGAGAATATGTTGAGGAGTTGAGGGGGTCAGTCCAGTAAAACGCTTCAACATTCGGTTTTCAAATGCTTGTATACGTTTTTCAATATATTTTGGGAAATTGCAACATATGGAATGTCCAAATTCAATTTTGGACCTGACTAAAGATTTGTAAACGGTCAAAGCATTTTTGGGAGGCAAGCCTGCCTGATTGTTTGTCATGAGTTTGATGATGTTGCATCCAGACTGACAATCTTTGAATGCCTTTTCATAATGGCCACGAAGGGTTAAGCTGTCATTTAAAATTCTCCCAAGAAATCGAAGAGATTTTACCTGATTAACTTGGGTACCTTTGATAAGAAGTCTGATTTCACGTTTAGAACCTTTGGCAAAATAAATAGTGTTTGTCTTGCTGGGGTTAAAATATAAATTAAGATCAGCGCATGCATCGAAAAACAAGTTCGCTTTCATCGAGAGGTTATTGACAGCTGCTGGAAAAGATGAGTCCGCAGATACGATCAGAAAATCGTCTGCATATTGAAAAATGTGAGTTTTGTCATCTTGAAGATCATGCAAAGAAGCTGCGTATAAATTGAAGAGTATGGGGCTTAAACAACTGCCTTGTGGGATACCACCGCATATTTCAACTTTTTCGGTACCCATCATCAACACACGCTTGGATAAAAAATTAAGTATCCACAGCCGCATTTGAAGAGGAATCGAAAAGTTTAGGAGAATTCTACCGAGCTTAATCAAGTTGACACAGTCATAGGCTTTGCTGATGTCCAGGGAGAGCATGACAACCATTTTCCCTGCTTTTTTTAAGCTGGCTATGAGAAAACACAGTTCATGAACGCACATATTCGTAGATTTGCGTTTTTGATAGGCGTAAGACCGAGCTGGAATAATGTTCTTAGTTTTCAGGAAAGCAGTTAGTCTCTCCTTAACCATGAGGTTGATGGTCTTTATGAATACAGATATTAGTGAAATTGGTCTGAAGCTACTTAAATCATTTAAGTCTTTACCTGGCTTGGGAATGGGAACTATTTTGATGCAACGCAAATCAGAGGGTATAAAATTGGTGGACCAGCAGTTGTTAATTGCATGCAAAAGCATTCTAAAGCTTCCTCCAGACAGTGCTGTGAGCATGTCATACTTGACTCCATCACAACCTGCAGCAGTAGCTCTCTTATTACAGTTAAGTTGTTTATTTATTGAGTATTTATTTATTTATTTATTTTATTCCACTTATACTAGAAACTCAACTAAACAAATAACAGTCGAGTTAAATTGGCTCTTAATATAAAACTAATATTAATCAACAATAAAATTGAGTATGAGCATAATAAAACAAATAAGAAGAAAAAAAAAAAAAAAAAAAA